CATTAGGCAACTCAGTGAGACCCTGTCTCTAAATAAAATTCAAAATAGAGCTGGGGATGTGGCTCAGTGGTTGAGTGCCCCTGAGTTCAAGCTCTGGCACCCCCCTCCATTAAAAAGAAAAAAAATATATTATAACAATATAGATGTCCTGGGACAGCCCAGTCCCAGGTTGTTAGAACTGGACCCAAAGTGCCATGGGACTGAAGACAGAGGTAGAGCACAGACTGCAATTTATTGGAGGACAGACTGACTGACAGAAACATGGTTCTGAGTGGTAGCAAAACTAAGAGGATCCATGGACCGTGGATCAAAGGAGAGACCTATATATAGATTAGGACAAAAGTGACTTCAATCAAGCCAGAACGTACCTCTTTTAAGAGTCAGGCACATTCCCACTCACTACCAAGTCGCCAATCGTAAAGGGCCACACACCACCCCAATGGTTCCGTTGACTTATGGTGTGCTGGGACACTATGTGGGAGAACCCCAGGGGTGCTCAGGAGCAGACAGGGCGGCTACAGTTCAAGACGGCTGCGGGCAGGTCACGCCGGATGGCAATGACACGGTCCCCACACAGTGAACATGGTGTCGTGTTCCTGAACCTGCGCGCAGCAGCCGGGGCAGAAGGTCTGGGAATCAGGACATGTGAGCGTGCCTTCCTTGAGGCACGGTCACTGCAGTACAGGGCCATGCCCTGAGCCCTCATCCAGCCATCCTGAGGACATCCCACCTGCCTCACCAGCAGGTGTAGCATTCACCAGGCAACACATGGGGAGCACTCAAATGGCCCCCACACCAACTTCTTGAGGAGAGTTGATCTGTCCTCATTTTGCAGATGGTGAAACAGAGGCTTAGCTTTAGGGCTAAAAGTAGCAGAGAAAGTTCTGGAACCTGTCGTCCTGGAGCTGGACTTGTAACCACTGCCCAAACAGTCTCTCTTACTCCACACGTACTCAGGCTTCCCACTGGTGTGCAGATGGACCTGTCCCAGACGAAGTACCCAAAATGCAGCTTGACCTGGTTATCAAGGTGCAGGAGAAAAGCAAGCAAGCTTCGCTTTCAGAGCACAAAACCCTTGATTTTGAAGTCATTTTCATTGCCTCGATTTAGACCTGAAATTTTCTAGATAATAAGGTTCGCAGTCTCCATCATTTTGGACCAATTAATGGTCTATTGATAATCCTGGTAGAAAAATATAACTGGGTAATATGTGAATACATCAGAAAAAGACTTGCTAACTGTATTTCATTTGGTGGGAATGTGGAAAACATTATTTTCCTTCTGCTTTCCATATCTGCATGACAAAATAGGGACCTGATATTTTGAGGTAGTTGTCAATTAGGAGTATGCCCGAGTGTCAAATGATGAGCGCACACGGTCCTGAGGCTCATGGGACCTCTGCGAGAGATTCAGAGTTAGGTGGGGTGGATTGGGCTAGGACCTGCAGCTCCTCCGGCCTCCATGGATCATAAGGTGGGTAGCTGGAGTCCTGTCTGGATAAAACTACAATCACGTGTCATTCACACATTTACCCAGAAAATGTTTATGGATCCGATTTCTCATTTATAAATCATTAGTCATTTAGCCATCTATGATAGAATAATCACATTTGATCCCTTTGTCGTTATGTAACGATCTTCTGGAAACCCAGACCCCTATTGACTATGAGAATCTTTTTTTTTTTTTTTTTTTTTTAATACTGAGGATTGAACCCATTCATGTGTTCATCCTTCTGGACACTGCTTATGGGCCATCCATTGTAGGATAGCCATGAGAGAGATACCAGGTAAAGGATTAATGAAGAGAGACAATACAAGTCACCTTCCTCAGCTCTGACATGTAAAGAGCTTGGAATTTGTCCCTTCCATCCTTATAACAAGGAGTAGCTGGACAAACTGAGTATCAGTGACTTTTCTTATCCAATCGGGTATCTGGGTAGATGGACGCAGGGCATTTGGAGAGATGGGCACATTCAGAAATGCCCAAACCAACCAATTTGGGTTGGTTGGTTTGCACATGGGAAGTATTTTATTATCTCTATATGATTTGCGGAAGCTGTTTTAGTCCGACACTGATAGTGATTCTCGAGAGCTGATGTGGGGTGACTTGCTTAGGGGCTACCGGAGTAGTGTGAGAGAAGGAAAAACTCCTATGGGTAGTAGTATCAGAATGCCCCCTTTCTTGGATCTTTCCTCCAGGATTTCACTTTTAGAAGGCCCCTGGTTAGGTATGGTCAGACATGCAGATGCAGAAATGCTTGTCAGGAAGGAGGATGCTGACCCAGGTTCCTAGGGGTAGAGACACAGCACACCACGCAGGACCACGCAGAGTAGCACCAGAGCAGCCCAGGAGACAGGGGAAGGGCAGGGAAGGCATGGGCAACACCAAGAGTTTTTTTCTGTGGTTTCTGCAGGAAAGTCTGGGCCAGGCAGGGCAAGCAGGCGTGGGCTTGGTTCATTAATAATTTCTGCAGGCTTGCCGGTAAGGGGCTGCCCCCAGTTGCCTAAGTGCCTAGCCTTAGAGTAATTAAGGCAGAGGAATAACTGCTTGGTTTGTGAGAACTTGATAAAGGTAATTGAAGGGTGGACTTTGGGTTGGTTGGTTTGCACATGGGAAATATTTTATTATCTCTGTATGATCTTTATTGGCCCGCCCTGGGAGGAACAGTGTCTCCAGCATTAACAAGGGCCCTGATATCAAAACATCATAAAATACAGACAATAAAAAGGCATGGTTAATACAAACCTCGCTTGGTTCTTATGATGAAGCTCTGAGGAAGAGCCCCCAACAGCTCTGGCCAGGTAGGAGGCAGTTTATAATTGTGAAGTGCACCAGAGCCGTCTCTGCAACAAAGGCTATTCTCCAGGAAAAACCAGAGTCCTACTCTCTACCTGGGAGTTCCTAAGTGAATGCCTCATCCTGTCTTTAAAGACTAAGATTCTGCCAGGCGCAGTACAGTGGTGCGAAACCTGCAATCCCAGCCAGCTCGTGAGGTTGAGGCAGGAGGATCATTGTGAGTTCAAAGCCAGCCTCAGCAACTTAGCAAGGCCCTCACCAACTTGGCAAAACCCTGTCTCAAAATAAAATATTTAAAGAGGGCTGCAGATGTGACTCAGTAGGTGAGTGCCCCTGGATTCAACCCTCAGTATAAACAACAACAACAAAAAAGATTCTCATAGTCAATAGGGGTCTGGGCTTCCAGAACATTGTTACATAATGATGAAGGGATCAAACATCCAAGAAGACATTACAAGCCTACATATGTATGCATGAAACAGCAGAGCATCAAAATTCACAAGACAGACAAGCACAGAGGCACACACCTGTAATCCCTGAGGTTTGGGAGCCTGAGGCAGGAGGATCATAAGTTCAAAGCCAGTCTCAGCAAAAGTGAGGTGCTAAGCAACTCAGTGAGGCCCTGTCTCTAAATAAAAAACAAAATAGGACTGGGGATGTGGCTCCGTGGTCGAGTGCCCCTGAGTTCAATCCTCAGTAATATAAAATAAAAAAAAAAAATCCCAAGACAAACACTGATAAATCTGTAAGGAGAAGTAGAACAATCCACCATTATGATTGGCATTTCAGTCTCCCTCTGTCAGTAATGAATAGACAATCAGTAAAGCTGAGAGATCTGAACAGCACTGTCAATCAACTTGACATTGATAAAAGGTTCAATCCAACAGCAGAAGAATACATATTTTTCTCAAGCTCATATGGAGCATGTAGCAAGACAGACTACATTCTTGGAAGACATGTTACCAAACTTAACAAAAGACATAACGAATATGTTCTTACAATATAACAAAATTAAACTAGATATCAATAACCAATAATAATAATAATAATAATAGCTGAAATAATAGCTGAAAATTCCTCCAAATATTTGGAAATTAAGCAGTAGACTTCTATATAACCTTCAGATCAAAGAAGCCTCAAAAGAACTCTTAAAATCTTTTGAATTGCACAAAAATTAAAATATAACTTATGAAAATGTGGGGGGATGCAACATACACATGCTGTGGAAAAAAGTTTTACCAGTAAGTGCGTATGTCTTAGTCAGTCTTGTGTTGCTAGAACAAAATACCTGAGAGCAGGTGCTTTATAAAGGAAAGAGGTTTGTTTGGGCTCACTGTGTTGGGGGCTGAAAAGTCCAAGTTCAGGCAGCTATGTCTGGCGAGGGCCTCATGTTGCATCACAGCCTGGCAGAGGGCATCAGAAGGTGACCACATTGTGAGTACCTGTGGAAGAGACCAAAGACCTGGGTGGCCTCTCTTTTATAACACCCCATTCTCAAAGTGACTCATCCAGTTCCTCGAGACCTTGCTCACTCCTTTGAGATTGACATCAATCTTTTCCAAGGGTGGTGCCTGGGAACAGATCACCACATACTAGGCCCCGCCTCTTAAAGGTCCACAGCCTCAATACACCACACTGGGGACCAGTTCCAGTAGCACCTGGGCCTTTGGGGACACACTCAAACCATCTCCAAACCATAGCCCTACGTTAGATAAAGGAAATATGGAAAGTTAACAGCCTACAGTTCCACTTTAGGAAACTACAGGGGGGAAAAAAAAAGCAGATTAGGCTTCATCCAACAAAAAAAGGAACAAATTAAAATCAAGACAGAAATCATTGGAATTGAAAACAGGAAAACAGTAGGGGAAACCCGATAAAATCCATGTTGGTCCTTTAAAATCATCAACCAGATCATTCAGCCTTTAGCTCAGGTTAAACAAAAAAGAAAAAGAAAAGAAAAGACAGAGAAGAAAATGTGGATGCACCCTAAGACAGAGCTCATTTTGTCAGGAATTCCCCCGGGAAAGCGTGGTTCCTGCCTGACCTGACGGGAAGAGGCCCACGCTTGTCCCTTGACCCCCCTTCGGCTGGCCTTTGTTTGGGTGGGGTCCAGGCCTCCCGGCAGCACTTGGTTCTGAAGGCGAAATTCAAAGAGGCCCCGCCACCTGGGGCCTCACACTTCTGCTTTCTGGTGTGTTTTTCAGGCGGACACTTGAGGAAAGGCCTGTCACACACACACTCCTGGCAGCGGGAGGCCCTCCAGCTCTCTCTCTGTCTCAGCAATCGGTTTTTTAAAGTCCTCTCTTCTGCACTGGGGCCTCCCTGAGTTCCATGCAGCCTGGTCTCCAGCCTGGGATCCTCCGGCTTCCTGTGTCAACCCAGGGAAGGAAGGTAGGTCAGATTGGCAGGAATCCAACCAGGAGGAGACCCCGGGGGTCTCAGGGCTCCTGTGGCTGTGCCCAGGAGGGCGATGGTAGGTCACCTCTGTGCCTGTGTGTTCTCCCCATGGCGACACGTCCCTCCAGGGGGTTAAACCACCCTTCGGTCCCGTGTCTACCCTTTGCCCCTTCCTTTGAGCATTGGACACACGTACCTGCCGGGTTTATGACAGGGACAGTCATACAATCTAAGCAACTCTCAGAGGCTCCTGGAACATTTTACAATCACGAATCTCCCATGATTATATTTAATCGTTGGGGGAAAAAATGAGTTTATATGTGCTCAGCAACACCCTGGAGATTTCTTAGTGTCCCTTTTGTTTAAGTCAGGGAGTTTGGTTCTTGTGGCAGCCACAGGGTCCCCGTACAGCTTGTGCTAATGACATGGAGGGAATGCAAAAGTGAAAATAGAGTCTGGAAGCTGGAGACTTGTGCCCAGCACCTGCGGATCAGACAAATGTTGTGTCTACTGACTGTGTCTCTGCCGACTGCCGCTTCCCCGCCGCCTCCGTTCTGAGAAGCAAGGGTGTTGGGGCTTGGAGCAGGATCAAGGAGAGCTCTGTACCTTTACTTCCCTGGGTGCTTTGCCCAGGCAAGACAAGACCAGCAAGATCTAGCAGGCATGTTCCGCAGGAAGTCTTTAACTCACTGCTTTGCCAAGTGTGGGTATCTTTCCCAGAGGACAGTGGCAGTGAGGTGGCTCCCGGGACACAGTAGAGGGTTGAGTTCACTGGGGAGATGTTCTTGCTTAGGATCCACACACGCCCCAGGCCACTGGCTGAAGCCCGGCCCTGTCCTCCCTGTTCCAGAGAGCAGGAGACAGACTTTGCTAAGGTATGACCTTGGCCTTGACCCAGTCTCCACTGAATTGTTCACAAAGCCCAGCTCTTTTTAATGACTCATGGCCTGGTGCCCCTCCCCATCCCCTGAGCCCACCGGTGTGAAGTGGGCTCTGCGTGGAGACTTCAGAGCTGGCACCCAGGTAAGGTGTCTAGCTGGGTCCCCTGCTTCAGGCATCAGCCTGGCATGGGTGACTGTCATTGTCCTCCCCTCTTCACTTCTCTGCCCAGGGTCAGGGTCCTTCTTGGGCTGGTTGCTTATTTGTAGCCAACTATGCTGAAAGTTCACACCCACGTGTGGACATGGAGGCATATCATCTGGCTTACGGAGCCTCCGCTGTGGAGTCTGAGGAGGTCCGCCCTTCCCGTATGCATTTCCAGGGCTTCCAAGTTCTGAAGGGGCAGCAAACGAATTTGGTTTTGAAGCTTTGGATGGTGTTTTCTCCTAGGGCAGCAACTCCTGAATTTCCAAATGACAGTGAAAGCCAGGCTGGCCCCGCCTAGCTTACTTTTTGTTTCTTGAAATGTGGGTCTTGGTATTCTAAAGAGTCCCCTGTGCTTGCCTGTGGGTGCAGACACAGGGGTGCACTCTGCAGAGTGAATGAGAAGCATGATTGCCTCTTGGGAGAGCACCGGGAGGCTGGGGACAGGCTCTGCATGGTGGTCTCCCAGAGGGCAATCCCACACATCCACGATGAAATGCCCACCAGGTAGACAAGGGGCTAATGCAGGTTGAATGTGCTCTGATTTCCATTCCTTCCATGTTGCAAACCCTGGTTTGTAACGACATGCTTGCATCTGCATGGTGAGACCCTGCTATAGAAGGCTGTGAACACCCACCCAGGGCAGACTAGTCGAGGGTGGTGGTCTGTGGAAGCAGGTGCTGTGGGGGATGATTCCTGTAGCATCTCTCTTTGCTTGGTCATTTCTCTATAGCTAACCAGTCCTCCAAGACTGATTCTGTCTCTTAGCTGGAGCTCATTCCTCTTTCTTATGAAAATTAATGTAACCCACAGAGGAAGTTTTTCCTTTTACCCAAATCTTGACAATTTTCTCAGCTTCAAACCATGAAGAAAATTCCCAGATGCATCTGAACAGGGCTACTTTGCATTTGAGTGGCTGTGTGGTTTCGAGTATGATAAACCTAGATTTGCATCTTCCTGATTTTGTTTCCCTAAATGGTATGGATTTTTTTATTTTGCATATTATTCACGATGTTTGTGGTTCAGCAGTGTAGCAAAGCATTTGCTTATGACACTAAGGATCTGTGAAAACATGGCTTTGAATGGTTTGATAGTATCTTCTTAGATGCCTATGCCATAATTAGCTTTTACTAATTCCTTATTTTTTAACAGCGAGGGTATTTCTAATCATCAGTGCAAGAGGGATGAACACTTGTATAAATAGATCTTTGTCCACATCAGATTGTTTCCTTGAATTCTTGGAGGTAAAATTGTTACATGACAGGATGGCACACATCTCTTAATACACGCTGGTATGGATTTATCAGGTAATTATCTTCGCTGCTGTTTGCCCAGAGGACCTTTTACTTCTGCCACAGTCTATATGATATGAGGTACTCTTGTGGCCTAGAGATGGGAAAATGAGCCGCTTTCCATGGCTAAGTGCTATTGGAAATGTTTGCTACAAGAAGTTAAAGGGCTGGGGCTGGGGAAGCTAGCACCTGCAGGAGCCATGCTTCAGTGGTCTCAAGAAAAGCAGAAGCCCCAACCACAGGTCTGAGGCCCTTAGATAACGAGGACACACAGGGCATTCAGAAAAGGCTACAAAGGTTTCCTCTGCTGTTTCCAGGTCAAGCTAGAAAATGCTGGAAATTAGACAGATTCAGAGAACAAGAATACTGTGTTTAAGGACATCATCATAGGTGAGTGGTTTTCCCAAAACATTGAAGCACAATGGTATGTTTTTGTGAATGAGATTCAGGGAAAGTGAGAGGGTGCAGAAATTACTTAGAGTCAGTGCTCACTACTTATGACTTTCAGATTTACAAATTGATCTATTCATTAATATGTACTTGAAACCCCCAAATCAATACAGTACTTTTACCACTGTTTGTATAATTGTGCAAGGTGGTAAAAAGTCTGCTGACACACATGCTCAGGTTGAATAAGAGTCATTCTGCCTCAGGTTGCATAAAGAGACACTCTGCCTTCTTGTCTCAGCCATTCTGGTGTGAACAGGTGTCCCTTTGCCTGGTCTTTTTATGGCCACTTTGGAGGGGGCAATTTTGTGCTTTCTGTTGGTGACTTCACCATGGAAAATGATCCCAAGTATAGTGCTAAAGTGCTGTGTCGGGTCTGAGATGTGCTTTACAGAATGAAAAGGTCAGCTTTATACACGCGTTGCAGTATTGATGGCCATGAGTCCCTATTAATATATCAACAATATATAATGAAGTCATTTTTTTTTTGCAAATATAAACACACAGTTGATAAAAGGTTACATATTGATCAACTGATAAAAAGGTAACCAGCCAGCCGGGCGCTGTGGCACAGTAATCCAAGCAGCTCAGGAGGCCGAAGCAGAAAGATTGCGAGTTCCAAGCCAGTTTCAGCAATATAGCGAGGCCCTCAGCAGCTCGCAGAGACCCTGACTCTAAGTAAATATAAAAAAGGCTGGGGATATAGCTCAGTAATAAGCGCCCCTAGGTTCAATCCCTGGTACCAAAAGAAAATAAATATGTAGCCGGAGGATCCCAAGAATTTAACTTTGCATTTTCCTAAGGAGCAGTGTTCAGAATTTGCAAATGTGTTGTTCATGCTATAGAACAGAACTACCATGCATAACAAGAAACCGCTGTATTTTGTTTCGTGCATGAAATGAAAAGAGAATAGAACCCAGATTATCAATACTGAAGAAATGGAGAGAGGAGAACATAGAGAAAGAAATGATACTCTGAGCAAGCACTGGTTGCTTCTGTCACCCAACCCCATTGCACTTACTGTATTAGGTGTCTGTTGCTACCTAGCAAATTGCCCTAAACTTAGTTGATTAAAACTATAGCAATCATTTATAGGTTGAGAGCACCTCATTCAAAAATCCAAAATTCAAAATGCTCCAAAATCTGAAAAATTGAGTACCGACATAGAAAATTCCATACTGTGAAACTCTGTATTATGCATAAAATTATTAAGATTATTCTATTAAACTACCTTCAGGTTATATGTATAAGGTGTATGTAAAGCACAAGTTAATTTTTGTGTTTATCCTTGTGTCTCATTCCCAAAATTTCTTCTTGGTTATGTACATAAAAATATTCCAATTTTTTAAAAATCCAAAATCTGAAACAATTCCTTTCCCAATCATTTTGGGTAAGGCCTACTCAACCTCTGTTTTCTCTCATCATACTTGTGATCAGGTGTTTGAGACAGCTGGGCTGACTCAGGGTCTCCATAGGGCTACAGTGACCTGGGCTGCAATCTCATTCAAAGGTCTGAGGGGGGCTGGAGGACCCTCTTCCAAGATGGTTCCCATGGCTGGCAAGCCCATGCTGACTGTTGGCTGACGCCTCGGTTTCTTTACACACGGGCCTCTGCTGCTATTCACCCAGAGAGCTGCTTGAGCATCCTTACAACATGGCCTCTGTCTTCCCCAAGGGTGAGCAATCCACTTGAATAGCCCTATTTTGTCATGCTAGACGGAGGGGAAACTACAAAGGCTTTTTATGGATCAGCCTCAGACATTCCACACATCATTCTGAGGTCAGCCAATGGATGTGTGAGGGTGTGAACACCAGGTGAGACTCACTGGGTGCCATCTTGGAAGCTGCCTCCCAGAGAGACACTTGAACTCTCCAACAAACTTTGCAGGGTAGAGACCCATGGTGAAGGTAGCCTCTATTCTGGGGAGCAGGAAACAAAATGGTAAACACATTTACTCTAATGGAATGTCAATTCTTGTGACATTGGAGAACACAGACAAGAAAATAAATGAAAAGTTATGAACGTGAAGTGGGCCAGGGAGTGGGTTAGGCAGGTGTCGGGTGGGCATGGGGAGCTCTGCTGCTATTCACTGTGTTAGCATTCATGCTGGCTCCTCCTCTGCGGGAGATGGAATCCCTTCTACTGGAGTTATGCATTCTGGATGACTTTGC